ACGGCGGGCGGCGCCAGCGTCACCGGCTCACGCCGTGCCCGGACCAGCTGCAGCGCCGCCAGCGGAAGCTCCGCCCACGCCGTGCTGCGCGCAAGCTCGCAGGCCGCCTCTTAGGCCTGGCGGCACCCACTTGTCTTCCTCCTCCTCCTCCTCCGCCTCCTCCGCCTCCGCCTCCTCCTCCTCCTCCGCCTCCTCCTCCTCCGCCTCCTCCTCCCGCCTCGGTGTCGTCCTCGTCATCGAATTCGTCGTGGTCCTCGTCCTCGAACTCGTCGCGGTCGTCAGCCTCGTCGTCCTCGCGCGGCACCTCGAGATTCAATGTGCGTCAGATCCACACGTCGGGATCATGTCGGACGTCGGATGTGCATCGGATCCACGTCGAATTCACGTCGGACTTACGTCAGAGTATCGCCGTGCGAACGTCGACCCGTATCTTACGGAGCGGACGTGTGGACTAGGTCTTACAACCCTTGCGCGCCCCGTGATGCTTACTGGATGATCCTCAGATTGGCGGCGCGCACGACGGGGTAGGAGGAGGGGGGAAGGCTCATTAGAAGGTGGCTGGTTCTTAAAGGCGCCAGCACTACATCTACAGACAAGGCCCGCGCATCCTGAGAAGCAGGGGTAAGTCTAAAGAACCTTCCCCCCTCCCCCATACCCCCCTCTGCACGTGGCCGATCAGAAAAACTCGTCGTCCTCGTCTTCGTACTCGTCCTCGTCCTCGTCGTCGCCGTCCCCCAAAAGGGCTGGGCGCCGAAGTCGCGGGTGGGCACCAGCAGCCGCGTCTCCTCGCAGGCCTGCGCCGCCGCGGCCGCTAGCGCGCGCACGCGGGGCGGCAGCGCGACGCCCCCGTCGCAGGCCGCACGACGCACGACGTCCGCGGCCAGCGAAAAGCGGGACGCTTCGTCCGTGGCCGCGGCGTCTCCCCCTCCCTCCCTCCCTCCCTCCCTCCATCTCTCCTCCTCTCCCTCCTCCCTCCCTCCCTCCCTCCATCCATCCGTCCCTCCCTCCCTCTCCTCATCCTCCCTCCCTCCTCCTCCTCCCTCCTGCTCCCTCCTCCTCCTCCCCTCCTCCTCCTCCTCCTCCTCCTCCTCCTCCTCCTCCTCATCCTCCTCCCTCCCTCCCTCCCTCCCTGCCCCTGCCCCGTCCCTCCCTCCCTCCCCTCCACTCCCTCCCTCCCTCCCTCCCTCCTCCCTCCCTCCCTCCTCCTCGTCCTCTTCTCCTCCTCCTCCTCCTCCTCCTCCGCCTCCTCCTTCTCCTCCTCCTCCCTCCTCCTCCTCCTCCTCCTCCTCGCCTCCTCCTCCTCTCCTGCTCCTCCTCACTCCTGCTCCTCCATTTCCTTTCCCTCTCTCCTCCTCTCCTCTCTTCCTCCTCCCTCCTCTCCGCCTCCTCCTCCTCCTCCTCCTCGTCCTCCTCTTGCTCCTCCTCCTACTCTACTCCCACTCCTCCTCCTCCTCCTCCTCCTCCTTCTCCTCCTCCTCCTCCTCCTCCTCCTCCTCATCATCATCATCATCATCATCAGCAGCAGCATACTCATCATCATTATCATCCTCATCCTCATCATCATCATCATCAGCAGCAGCAGCATCATCACCATAATCAGCATCCTCATAATCATCATCAGCAGCATCAGCATCGTCGTCATCAACATCATCCACCTCATACTCCACCTCCTCCTCCTCCTCCTCCTCCTCCTCCTCCTCCACAGAAGCCCTACTTCTGCCTGCGTGGCCACAGGACTGTCGTTCTGTGGCCCGACTGGTTTGGCACACCCTTCACACGTTGCGTGCCCCATCAAGGGTCTGAAAATACTGCCCACATGCACGTAGTCATGGGATGGTGCCGGGAACGGACCGCTTCAATCCATCATTCAGACGTCGAGTGCATCAAAGGGAGCCCCACTACGCCAGACTGTGCTGGTGGAGCCATGTGCTCACAGCATTGCATTGGGGCTTTGAGGCTCAAAGGTTTGGGGCACCTCTCACAGGTCACGTGCCCCGCATAAGGGCCTCAAGTGGGGCCCAAATGGCGACAGGACTACGTTGACGGCGCGAAAAAATGATGAGTGCGAAGATAGGCGTCTAATCAGTGCCCACAGGAGTCTGGCTGGACCAATTTCGCCACCCTCCGCCTGGCCAAGTAAAAAATCACGCATGATGCGCCCACCAGGGGGGGCCCTCGCTAGCACGAACAAAGATTTTGCACGACGTTGGGGTTTGCGCGAGAACGGACATTGTAAAACAACTAAAGACTGTGCGAGCATAGGCCTAGTAATACCGGGTTTGTGCGATCATTCCGACGGACTTGAACAGTCATCAGGTCTGCACGAGAATTGAGCTTTTGGAGTATGATAAAAGGCTGGCTGCGGTGCCGGCGTCACCAAGCCGCGTTCAAGAGGAGGCCTGACGCGCGTACAGTCTGGGTGTGATTAACCACAAGCTGCGCTGCAAATCCGCCTCCGTGCCAGCGGCACAGTGGTCCGTGAGTCCGTACTCCAGATTTCGTGATAAAAGGGAGGGGGTCTGGACCCGCCAAGACAAGCCATTTCAGACCTCCCCCGTGGGAGAACCCTCCAAAACATCGTCCCCAGACCCCCCAGGCCCTCCAAGATAGCCTGGAAGAGACCCCCCCCCGAAATGAGACCCCCCTCCCTTTATTACGAAATCTGGAGTAACCACAAGCTGCACTGCAAATCCGCCTCCGTGCCAGCGGCACAGTGGTCCGTGTCAGAGTGCTCTTCTGTTGTTTGCTAAGGCTTCCTCGGTGCTTCCAGGGCAGATCCCCCCTCCTCGCCGCACGCGCCTCTCGAGAATCGCTTCCCTTGGTAGTGTTTTCTGGCACCCTTTCTGGGATCAAAAACATAAGACCACCTAAATGAGATCAATGATTTCGGCATCTTGGGCCTCTTGAGGGTCAAAGATGGCCCTGGAGGGCTCCAAGGCGGCCCAAGAGGCGACCAAGAGGATCCAATATGGCCTCAAGGCGGCCCGAGGGGCCTACAAGACGCCCAAAAAGGACCCTGCGAGGCAAAAGTCCTCGATGTTCCTTAGGTCCGAGGGTCCCCAAGATGCCCCCAAGAGGCCCCCAGAGAGCTCCAACAGATTCGCCAAAGGCCCCACCTTAAGAGGCCCCCAAGAGGCACTCAAGAAGCCCACGAGAAGCCTCTAATATGCGTTCATGAGAGGGGAGGAAGGAGGGGGAAGAGAACGGGAGGAGGAGGATCGACGGAGGAGGAGGAGGAGGAGGAGGAGCGATGAGTAGGAGGAGGAGGAGGAGCGATGAGGAGCAGAAGGAAGAGGAGGAGGTGGTGGAGGAGGAGGAGGAGAAGGAGGAGGAGGAGGAGGAGGAGGAGCGAGGAGGACGGAAGCGGAGAACGAAGCTGTGGGCTCGGAGGGGGAACTCAAGACCCGCTCCAGCCTAGTGCCCCGTCTGAACCCGAGCAGGCCTCAGAGCAGACTCCCTCCCTGCCCTGCGGCTGCCCTGACTGCTGCGCAGGCACGACGACGGGGGTCTGCCGCAGGCCGCCGGACACCTTCGAGACCGGCACAAAAAAAAAACCTAGCTGGGCCAGCCCGCGCAGGAGCAGCGAGGGCGGGCGAGGCGAGGGAGGGGGGGGGCAGGCGGGCAGGCGGGGACGAGCAGAGGGGGCGGCGCACACCGCCACCGGGCCTCCGCCAGGCTGGCGCCGACCTGGGCCATCGAGCTCGCCCCACCTCCCGCAGAGTGCCTGCTCGCAGATGTCCGAGAAAAAGGCGCATGCTTGCTTCGCTGAGATTTGCCGCAGATCCCCCGCTTCGGATCCAGGCCACCTGCGCGAAGCTGCTCTGCGAGTAGCGGAACACGCTCGTCGACGGGGAGGCCCACGGAGCTCGGCGCAGAAGTGCCGGCAACACCGGCCAGAGGCCAGGAGGGCACACGTGCACCGGAATCCTGGTCCCAGGGAGGGCCCGTGGACGCCTGGTGGCTGCGCAATGCCCTCCCTCTGTGGCACGAAGCGAACCCAGACCACCGACGTCATGATTTCTTCATAACGTGGACCCCCAGAGGTCTCGACACATTCCCTGGGACCCCCCGGAGGCCGAAGATAGCGAGAAAAGCCCTTCCGCCGTGACTGTTTCATCACACGAGGGGGTCTGGGAAGGGGTCCTGAGGGAAACGGGTCCTGGACCTTGGGCTTTTCCCCTGGGCCCAATCCTTTATCCCGAGCCGTTTCTCGACGGGCCTGGCGCCCGTGGGGAGGGCCCCCCTTGAGGCCAAGCCGGCGAGAGACTTCGGGGCCCGTCTCCCTTGGGACCCGCTTGCTTCATGGCGACCCCTGACGCTCCCCGAGGACGAGGAGGGGGAACGTCCCCCCCGCAGCGCGCGCTGGGCGCACGCCAGTGAGCATCGTATAACCGATCCCTACCTCCAGTTGCGTGGCCCGGGCCCGACTGGCCGATCTAGCCCCACCCAAGATTGCGATGCAGGCCGTTCCCTTTGGGCTCCGAGGGGCCTGTCCCCAACCAGGGGGGGGGGGGAGGAGGGCTGAGCTACCATGGCTCAGCCCAGGCATGCGATGTCCCGATGTGTTCACTCCGGGGCCCCTGGAAGTCCCGACCCTTTCAAGGGGGGGGGCAATTCTTCCTCGCGAGCTTTCTTCCGAGCCCCCGGGCCCGGCGAAGGCACCCCGAGGCCGAAGAAAAAGGCGAAAGCTTCCGCCCTGATTCCGATACGATGGATCTCTGGCGATGGGACTCGGATGAACGATGCCGATCGGGAGGAGGAGGAGGAGGAGGAGGAGGAGGAGGAGGAGGAGGAGGAGGAGGAGGAGGCTGAAGAGAAGAAGATCGGTCACGCGGCAAGAGGAGGAGGAGGAGGAGGAGGAGGAGGAGGAGAGGAGGAGGCATGAGGAGGAGGAGGAGGAGGAGGAGGAGGAGGAGGAGGGGGAGGAGGAGGAGGAGGAGGAGGAGGAGGAGGAGGAGGAGGAGGAGGAGGAGGGAAGGAGGAGGAGGAGGCGCAGGGCCCTACGACGCGCTCCCGGACACCGCGTCCCGGGCGAGCAGCGACCTCGACCGGAGGGCGGCGCGCACGCCGAGAGCGCCGGACGCCGCCAACAGCCGCAGGACGCCCACCGTGAGGCGGTAGGGCATGCGCCACGGAGGCCAGGCCTGAGGGGGCACGCACAATCCAAACCGATACTAGGGGGAAAACAAACCTACCTCGCTTTTGACCACCCTCGCTTCCAAGAGATACCAAACGATGCCAAACTACGGCCTGTACTGGTCAGGCCGCTTGACGAGGAGGCGCGTGGTATGGCTTGGTTTTGCCTGGAAGCGAAAGCGGGGTAGGTAATTCACGCTCTGAGATACAGAAGGGGCGTTGACCTAAGGAACCCTAAATAAGGAACGAGGTCCCCATTTTCCAGAAGTTGAACTTCGGCTTCCCGTCGAACACCTAAGGAAAGCAAACCTAAAACAAGCTGCGAGACAATCAAGGAACACGGAGCCCCTCCCCAACGAAAAGGGTTCCTTCTTCAGGGCCCCGCCTGTAAGGATGCGATGGCCTTGGACGCCCATGCCGGCGCGTTTCGAGCGGGGCTGGCCATCGAAAAGGGGTGTCGAGGATGGACCGAAGATGACCGAAGCGGCAAGGATGCATGGGTACCCTTGGGAAGTCGCTCCTCCCTGCTGTCAGCATCGACTGTAGAGGAACAGGGAAACGGCACCGACATAATTTATCGGAGGTCCGCGTGGGTTTCTTGGGTCGGCGCTGCACCATCTCCATGGCGCGCGGAGCGCGCCAGGGGCGGCGCTGGAGGGGCCGCCAGGGGGTAACAAGCGCCGATCCAAACAATCCGCGCGGATCTCCGAGAAAGGATGCTTATGCCATTCTCCAGAGCGTGGATTACCTACCCCGCTTTCGCTTCCAAACAAGACCATATCATACCACGCCGATCCAAACAATCCGCGCGGATCTCCGAGAAAGTATGTTTATGCAATTTTCCAGAGCGTGGATTACCTACCCCGCTCTCGCTTCCAGACAAGACCCGATCACACGGTGGTCCGTTCTTCGAGAACGGTACCCGGACCCCCATCGGGCAATGGTCAGAGACCACGGCGGGAAGTCTTTGGCCGCGTTCAGCCCTTTGGGGGGCCCCCGCCGAACTAAAACCGGGGAGGAGAAGCCGCTCCCGGGGCACGGGCAGAGGTCTGCGGCGGAAGCACGACGCCCGGGGGGTCTGGGTAGGGGGGAGGAGGAGGAGGAGGAGGAGGAGGAGGAGGAGGAGGAGGAGGAGGAGGAGGAGGAGGATGGGGAGGAAAAAAAGAAGGAGGAGGAGGAGGAGGAGGAGGAGGAGGAGGAGGGAGGGGATCCGGCGTTGGGGGGGGGGGAGCATCGCCCTAGACTCGGCGGTACTAATCGCCGACAGGTCGGCGACGGGCACCCGACAGCCTGGGCGGGCTGGGGCCGTCGGGCCCCCGTGTCGCGGATCAGTGGTGCGAGGAAGGGGATTCCTCCACGTCCACTGCCTAGGGAATCGCCGTCCTGGGACCCCAGCGGGATATGGATCCATCTTGGCCCCAGGGCCCAGGGGGCCCAAGGATATCCACATCCACTGCCTGCCGAAGCCCCCGAAGGCCGATCCCCCAGGTGGCGGTCATGGATGAATCCCAGCCGTTGAAGTGGACGATTGGGGACTGGTGCACCCCCCCCCCCGGAGCCTACGGTTGGGAACTTTTGTTCAGCGTGTCGCGGGGGCGGCCCCGCCGACACACTGTGCATTGCAAACGGAAAGCGTGTCGCTCTGCTCCGCCGGTCGGCCTGGAACAGCCCGGGACGTTGACGCCTGTGGCATGGGAGCGGGGATGACGCGTCGCGCCGACGCCTGGTGGGCCAGAACTGGCGGAGCGGCACGCCAAGTCAAAGCTCCTGACCACGTACCGTCGGACCTAGGCCAGAAGAACACACCTCACGAACATGAGACCCCCCGCCGGCCAAAACAGACAGAACAACCCAGGGTTCCCCCCCCCCAGGATGCACAAGAGCATCCAACGAGCAGGAAGAACACTGGGGTACCCTCCCCGAACCAACCTCGATCTCACACCTCGATCCGACCGCCCCGTGCCCGGTGGTTTTCGGGCCATGACTCGGCTCTCAGGCGGCCGTTCGGGACGATCCTGGCACCCCCGGAACGCCCTCGGCGAGGCGCAGCTGCTGGAGAGCGCCCCGAGGCTGGAAAGCCGCCGAGAGCGCAGGAGAGCGCTCGAAAACCTCGAACAAACACCCCGAACCGACCTCGACCTTACACCTCGGTCCGACCGTGCCCCGCCCACCAGCGTTGCCCCCCAAGGGCCATGTACTTCAGCTGCCGGCGGAGCACCAGGCGCCAGGCAGCCCGCGAGGTTCGGAGCACTCCCCGCGGCAGCACGTAGGGCCCCTCCCGCTCCCACTCGCCCCAGTACCGGCAGGCCGCCGCGCTCCGCGGGCCGAAGGACCGCCGCCGCCGCCGCTGGGCCGCGGGCCTCCTGACGAGGAAGAGGGAGTCGAGCAAGCGCGCTCCACTGCTCGCAAAAGCACCCTGCTCGCCAGTGGCCTGGGCCCGCCGCGTGGGACGTGCGATCCACCACGTGGAGGAAGACATCTGTGTTGGGCGCCCGAGTTATCCGGGGTAACTCGGGCCCGGGGTAACTCGGGTTTGGATTCCCGAAAAACGAACCCGAGTTAGCCCTAACCCGAATTATCCCTGATGATTTGGGGCTCTGGACGCCCGAATTATCCGGGGTAACTCGGGCCCGGGGAAACTCGGGCTCGGAGTCCCGAAAAAACGAACCCGAGTGAGCCCTGACCCGAGCTGCCCCTGATGACTCGGGGCTCTGACTGTGCCTCTCGGGCGCCTGCGAGCAGGCACACCGCGAGCAGTGGGAAACGCTCGGTGGAGCACGGCATGGCCACGCACTCTTCGAGCTCCGTGCAGACCTCCGGGATCGGCGCCGGAGACCCCCCCTCCGCCGGCGCGCGGAGCGCGCCCAAGGGCGGCGCGGGCGGCGCCTCCCGCGCCGGGGAAGGCTTCTTTTACACGCTTTTGCGAAGCACCGCGTGCGTGGGAGAGGGGGAGGGAAGGAGGGGAAAGAGAGAAAGGAGAGGAGAGGGAAGGGAAGGAGAGAAGGGGAGAGGGAGAGGAGAGGGAGAGGAGAGGGAGAGAGAGGAGGAGGAGAGGAGAGGAGAGGAAGGGGAGGGAAGGGATGGGGAGAGGAGAGACAGGCCCACCAGCCCGAAGTTCCCGCCAGGGAGCCCCCCCGGCCACCTGAGCCCTCACAAAGGCGGCGAGGGGCGCCACCAAAGGCGGGGGGGGCTGCGGGCTTCGCTCCCTGTGAGCAGCAGTCGCTGCCTCCGAAGATCGGGGATGGACAAACCTCCCTTTAGTAAAACGTGGTTTAGTGAAAACGACCCGAGGCCCAAACCTGGCGGGCGCAAGCCTGGAGAATCACGGCCGCGGCGCCCTCTCGAGAACCGAAAACGGACAATTCACTGATCGACGTGCCACTGCTGGGGGGGTTCTGTCCACCCCCGAGAAACGCGAGAGGGGAGGGGTCCGGCGCCGATCCGAGAGAGCCGCGCGGAGTTTCGGCGAACGCCGTGCTGTTCTCCTCCCTCGGCTCCTGCGCCTCCAGCGCCACGCGGCCCAGCGCGCGGCCAGGAAGTCCACGACCCCGTCGCGCAGCCGCCGCGCCTCCTGGGACACCAGGAAGCTGTGCAGCACCTCGTAGACGTCGACGTCGTAAACGAAGCGTCGCAGCGCCGCGCCCTCCGAGGTCAGCAGCAGCCGCCGCTGCACGCCCTCCTGCGCGCCGAAGCTCGCGGGCTCGGCCTCCTCGGCCTCGTCCGCCGGCAGCACGCAGGAGTCGTCCAACAGCTCGGCGAACGACTCCCAGTTCAGCCTGGCGCCTCCCGCGTGGTGCGCGCTCATTCGGTGTCGCACGCAGGGCTCCTGCTCCATGAGGGCCTCCCGCAGCATCTTCTGCCCCTTCCTGGTGCGAGGGGACAAGAACCTGCTGATGGTGAAGGGGAGGGCCACCTCGTAGATGTTGAACGCATCGGCAAGCTCCGGGTCATCTCCCAGCAGGCCCTCCAGCGTGATGAAGGTCCTGCAGAGCAGGGCGACGTATGGCGGCGTCAGCATCAGGTATCTGCTCGACAGCTTCTTCAGAGAGGTTGCCATCGCCCCAAAACGCGAGATGCCCCCAGACTCGCCCATGAGCGTCTTGCCGAGCTCCTCGGCAAACTCCTCGGTCGAGCACGGCACCTTTTCTGAGGTCTTCTTGCCATCGACGCTCACGAACTTGAGCATGGGCGTGGGCGCGAAGCGGACCTCCTGCATCACGCGCGCCAGATCCAGCCACTCCTGGTTGAGGACGTGCCGGATCCCGGCAGCGAAGCCCTCCATCACTCCGAAGTCCACACGGTCCATGACGGGAGCAACAAGAGAGCACCCCGCCCATCCCCCCGACGGGAGAGGGAGGGGAGGCGGAGAGGAAGAGCGGACCGGGTACGGCAGCTTCGAGTCGTGACTTCCCTGGCGCTGCTTTCCGACACCGCGTGGACCCTGCAACCTGGCACGATCGGCGGCTTTCCGATCGCCAGATCGTTCCAATCTTGGCCGATCCTGGGCAACTGGGAGCGTTCGGCCCTGAACGCGCCCGCGGCGGGGTCGCCGCCGCCGTCGACACGGAGCGAAGCTGCCGTAGGGGGAGGGGGGCGCGCGGTGGGCAGGCGCTCCTTTCCTGCTTGCCCGGCTGAGCCCGAAGTCCAGGAAGACCACGCGCCCGTCGTCGCCCATCCTCAGGTTCCCCTCGTGGGGGTCGGCGTGCACGAACCCGGTCACCAGCAGCTGGACCACGCACGCCTCCACGGCCATCTCCACCAGCTCCTTCCGCTCCTGCCGGGAGAGCTCCGACGGCGCCCTGCTGGGGTACCACTCCATGCAGAGCACCCGCGCGGAGCCCTCCGGCCCCGTGTACTCCGGGACCCAGGAGGGGGAGCTCACGAACGGCAGGAAGGCGTGGCGCACGGCGAACTCCTCCAGGTTGGCTGCCTCGACGTGGTAGTCGACCTCCATCTGGATGCCTGTGGCGACGGTGTCCACGATGAGGCTGTAGTCGTTGTCCCCGCTCGTGAAGTACTTGTAGGCCTTGCAGCCGAGCACGGCCACGGCCCAGTCGTCCCCCAGGGCGTCCCGGACCCCTGGCCTCTGCACCTTCAGCGCTACCGTGCGTCCATCGTGCAGGCGGCCCTTGTAGACCTGCCCCAGCGAGGCGGAGGCCACGTGCTTCGGGTTGAGCTCTGCCAGCAGGGGCGGCAGGGACTCGTCGCAGCCCGCGACGGGAACCTGCGGCGCCAGCGGGCCCTTGTGCCCGAGGTCGTCGGCGATGATCTGGAGAGCGACCTCGTCACTGAAGGGGTCGTTGCGCTCCTGCAGCCCCTTCAGCTCCTGGGCCAGCTCGTCGCCGACCAGGTCAGGGCGCTGAGCGCACGTCTGCCCCATCTTCACGAAGAACACGCCCATGTCAGCGAGGCCAGACCTCAGAGTCTCGCCGCGCGCGGTAGTGGGGCCAGCGCGTGTCAAGGAGGTGGAGTCGTAGGACTTCGCGTCACCTCCGTCTTGGGATGCGGCCGACGCCTCGCCCTGCTTCCACGCAGACCACATCCCGAACGCGATGGACCCCAAATAAAAAGCCCTCTTGATGACCTCCAGCGGCCTTGCGCCGACGTACTCCCAAATCGCATCCTGGTCGAAAGCCAGCATGTCGGTCATCTTCGACTGCTTCCGCACCAGCGAAGGATTGACCCGCGACGACGAGGAGTCGAGCGCGTACTGGTCGGAGATGGAAGCGCGCCGGCAGATAACCCGCCCCGTCGGCGGCCCGTCTCCCTGCATCGGAGTACGCTCGGCGGCGGGCAGAAGGGGCCGGGGCTGGGGGGCGGCATTCTGAGAAGGCCAGGGGCTCCTGACCAGAGCAACGGGCCCCCGGAGCGTCGTGCCCCCCAGGCGCCCTCCGAACCCTGGCTTGACAGAGGCAGCCCCCCCGTCTGGTTCCGCAGCCCAGGGTGGCAGGCAGAGCCCGCCAGACCAGCAGGGACGCGACGTCGTGGCGTTCTCTGTCCGGGACTGCGGGCGCAACTCCTCATTGCGTTCGGGAAGCCTCTGCAGTCGACCCGCACAGTAAGGATGCGCGGTAAGGATGCAAGGGCCTCGGAAGGCCCACGTCCACACTTTTCGAGTGGGGCTGGCCAGCGAAAGCTGCCAGAGATGGGCCGCATGGGCAAGGGTGCAAGGCTGGCCTTGGGAAGGTTGCTCATCCTCACTGCGCGGGTTGACTGCATCCCCCCAGGAGGAGGAGGGAGAAACTCTGGGGAAAGTCCTGGAGGGTGTCGTGGGGCCTCTGACGCTTCTCTGGGGATCTCCGGGAATCTGGGAGGCCATCCAGAGAGGTCGGGAGGAGGACTGGCAGGAGCGCACCCTCTCCGCTCGCACCGGGGCAACCTCGCCCCTTGTGCTTGCCGCCAAGATGCGCCGCGCGCGCTGCAGCCAGACCCTCCCCGCACAGCAGCGGCACCTGGACGACTGAGAAACCGGAAGAAGCCTTCCACACGAGGCTTGTGGATGCCATGACAACGGACACTCTGACGATCCTATCATTGACTTAAAGATGTGTTCAACACGTGTAAAACATGGTCCAAACATGTCTCAAACTTGTTTTTTTACACATTTAAAACATGTTTGAAACATCTGTTCGACATCTGGGAATTATTTGGCAGCACGCTTCCTCTCCAAAATAATCGACTCCCACAGCACGAGGCGCACGGCGGCCCCACGCGGTGGCAGCCGCAGGCCGCCAGGGCGCGGCACGCCGCGCGGACAACGGGGGCGCCTACCTACGCGCGCCCCTGGCGCGAGCAGCCTGCGCGGCAACTGCCCGCGCCATCGCCGCCGCCGCCGCCCGCCCTCGTCGCCGCCCTCGTCGCCCGCCCTCGTCGCCCGTCCTCGCCGCCCGCCCTCGTCGCCCGTCCTCGCCGCCGCCGCCGCCGCCGCCGCCCTCGACGCCGCCGCCCTCGGCGCCGCCGCCCTCGGCGCCGCCGCCCTCGGCGCCGTCCTCCTCGCCGCCGCCGCCGCCGCCGCCGCCCCCCTCGTCGGGGCACCTGCCGGCGGGCGCGGCGCGGCTCCGGCGCCGCCGCGGGGCAGAAGGCCCTCCCGCCCGCCGGGGCCCGCAGCAGCCGCCGGCCCGCGGCCAGCGCCGCGACGGCGGCCCCCGCAGCTGCGGCGAGCAGCGCCGCCCCTCGGACGAGGACAAGGACGAGGAGGACGGGGAGGAGGGGGACGAGGAGGGCAGGGAGGGAGGACGGAGGGAGGGCGGAGGGAGGACGGAGGGAGGGGCAAGGAGAACGAGGAGAACGAGGAGGACGGAGGACGAGGAGGACGAGGAGGACGAGGAGGGAGGACGGAGGGAGGGGGACGAGGAGGACGAGGAGGAGGGGGAAAGAAAGGGAGGATGCAGGAGGAGGGAGGGATGAGGAGGAGGGAGGGATCAGGAGCATGCACGAGGAGGAGGACAAGCAGATGAGACGCATCCCAGCGCAGACGCGAAGACAGGGAGCAGGTGAAGGACACCACCAGGGCACCCACAACCCGCCGGACGGGAGCAGGAGACGCAGTGGCCAAAACCCCCGACCCGCTCGCCAAAGCCAGAGAGGACCATCGCCCCAGCGGCGGCACGGCTCACGCCCTCGGCCGCGCCACGGCGCAGGGGGGGGAGGAAACCCGAGTCCTGCCACTGTGGTTCACCCGTCAAGCAGGGGCGGCGCAAGGATGTGCCTGTAGGCGACGCTGCCTTCTTGGGAGGACCTCGGCGCGGGCCTCATGTTGCTCCCATCGTGCTTGAAGACCACATCCCAGACATGATTTCGAGCACCCGGGAAAAGTGTCGAAAGAGTGTCGAAACAGCGTCGGACGGAGTGTCTCCCAGGGCCCGGCACGTGAAAACCATCGAATTTCGTCTTTTGCTCGGTGCTCGAAAATCTTTCCGGCGATCAAGGCTAAAGCAGGTTGGAACATCATAACGCGGGCCTCCTGTTAGTGACTACCCACCAGACCACCCCAACCCAACCCGAAGACCCGAATTTCGGGTTGGGGGGGGTAAAGGGTTCCACATATGTTTTTTAGATGTTTCCCGACGCCCCCCCCCACTGGAAATCGAGGGTAAATCTGAGCCTTCGGGTTGGGTTGGGGTGGTTTGGTGGGTGGTGAGTCAGACGCGGCGCCCGTCGCAGGGCCGCATCCTGCCTTCGCCAGGGCAGGCCGTGACCAGCGGGCGGCTGGTGCCTGCCGCGGAGCCCATTGGACTCGGCGAGCTCGCCAGCCGACCTGCGCCCCCCAGGCTGGCGAGCCTGCTCTCGAGCTGGTAAGACCTCCGACTTCGAGTCGTCCCGCTCCGGCTGCTCTTCCTGGGGGCCCGAGCTCTATACAGTCGGGGCGTTGACCTAAGGAACCCTAAATAAGGAACGAGGCCCCTTTTTCCCATAAGTTGGACTTCGATTTCCAACTAAAGGAACCAAAGGCGAACCAAACCGAACCAAAGGCAAACTGCAAAACAACTAAGGAACACCGAGCCCCTCCCCAACGAAAAGGGTTCCGTCCTCAGCGCCCCGACTGTTCACCGACGCGTGTTCCGGGCCTGCTCTGAAACTTGCAAACATCCATCGCTCCACTTACCTCGATAGAGTCGCTCTCCTGCTTCACCGTCTCCTCCAGTGGGACGTTCTGCAGTTCCACCACGCTGCTGATGGCATTGCCTAGCTTGCCGTCTGACCCCTCCAAACGATTGACGAGTTCCTGGGTGCGCTTCTCAAACTCTACGTCAAGCGTCCCCACCCAGTCGGTCATCTTGCTGAAGCCGTTCCGCTGCGGTTCAACCGTGATGGCGGTCACGCGGCTGGCGAGTTTCTTGGGCTTGGCCTCTAGCGTCCCCAT